GTGCACTACCTGGGGCATGTGATCTCTGACAGAGGAGTCTCCACAGACCCGCATAAGGTGGAAGTGGTGGCAAAATGGCCAGCCCCAACTACGGTGTCCGAGTTAGTCTTTTTGGGACCTGGGAACTTCACTGGCTCCCTGTCAAATACAGAATTGACTATAAGATACTTCTTCATGCCTTTAAAGCCATCCATAATCTCGCTCCCCCTTATCTTTCTAATCTCCTCCACATTGTCAATCCCACTCACTCTCTCCGATCGTCATCTTCACCTTCCCTGTCTATTCCTCGCACTCATCTCTGTACTATGGGAGCCAGAGCTTTCAGCCACTCAGCTCCAAAACTCTGGAACACTACCGCCTGACCTCCACAATATAAACTCTTTCTCAACCTTCAAGTCTCAACTCAAAACTCACATGTCCTGCCTGGCTTACTCATTGTAACTGTCCTCCTTCCATCTACTCTTTTTAGTCTATTATCCATCGTACTGCTCTGACTCTACCCTTGGGAATTACTCTTAGCACTTATTTCTTGTTGTTAGTATTGCTTGCTGTTCCTTATATTTTGTCTTGTACAGTGACCTTGAGAGCTTTGAAAGGCACTTGAAATAAAATGCATTATTATTATTATTATGAAGCTAGAGTTTTTGGCACTCAAGTGGGCCATGACTGAAAAGTTCCGGGAGTATTTGCTAGGCCATAGATGTATTGTCTACACTGACAATAACCCATTAAGCCACCTGTCGTCCGTGGGCAGCTCAGCTGGCATCCTTCGACTTTGACATAAAGTATCGTTCGGGGAGAAGTAACAGAAATGCAAATGCTTTGTCTCGACGACACTCCCCCGGGGCACAGGATTTGGCAGCTATGCTCCCAGTGACTTCTTTACCCCACCCCTTGCAGCAGGCTCTGCAACCGGCCCAGCCGGAGGCATCTCAGGCAGTGGTCCATGCTCTACCACATTGCAGCCCCCTAGACCTTGGGGCCCTTCAGCAAGCGGATCGTGTCCTGAAAAAGCTCTGGGAATTTTAGACACAGAAGCAACGTCCTACCCGTGAAGAGCAACAGACATTGTCTCACCCAGTGTTAGTCCTACTTAAGCAATGGTACCGGATGCTTGAACAAGACAGCATCCTGTTTCGGCAGGTCAATCTTCCTCAGGATACTGAGGCAAGGCTGCAGGTTTTGTTACCTGCTGTCCTAAAGGAAGAAGTGCTCACAGAGGTACATCAGAAGCATGGCCATCAGGGTGTTGAGAGAACGCTAGAATTGCTCAGGCACCGTAGTTATTGGCCTGGCTTGACAGCGGATGTGGAACTGTGGTGTCGTAACTGAGAGATGTCGGATGGCAAAGGACAATCAGCCGGTGGCTCAAAGTTACATGGGGCATTTGTTGGCTTCACACCCAAATGAGGTCTTGGCCATGGATTACACTGTGCTGGAGAATGTCCTGGTTATGACTGATGTTTTTAGCAAATATACACTGAAAGTTCCCACCTGTGACCGGCATACCTCAACTATGGCGGAGATGTTGGTGACAGAGTGGTTCTCTAAGTTTGGTGTCCCGGCATGGATTCATTCGGACCAGGGGCGGAACTTTGAGAGCACTCTTGTTCAGCAGTTGTGTGCTACGTATGGGATCGAAAAGTCCCGAACTACACCGTACCATCCTGCAGGGAACGGACCGTGCGAGAGGTTTAACAGGACACTCCATAACTTGTTGTGCACGTTGCCAGTGTCACGAAAGCGAGACTTGAGTGCCTGTTTACCACAACTTCTGTTCTCTTATAACACCACAACACACCAAGCTACAGGAGAGTCTCCTTTCTTCCTAATGTTTGGTCAGGAACCACGTTTACCTGTGGACTTTCTGCTGGGTAGGGTTCAGGACCCATTGGGGGGCAGTATCCATGAGTGGGTCCAGGAACAGCAGCACAGTCTCCAGGTAGCCTTTGAGGGGGCTCGAGAACGTCTGACAGTGGCAGCTGGACGGAGGAAAAGGTATCATGACCAGCAGGTAAAAAGTGCTTTTATTGCTGATGGTCAGAGGGTGCGGCTCTGAGAGCGTGGTATCAGAGGCCGTCATAAAATTCACGACCAGTGGAGCTCAGTGGTCCACGTGGTAGTGAGGGTACCAAAGGAAGGAGGCCCTGTGTACTTGATTGCTCCAATGGAGGACCTCACTAAAGTGAGGCAAGTTCACCACTCCATGCGGAAGCCAGTGGGAGGAGTCTCCTCGGTGGAATAGCCTGCATCCTATGAGCCCTCGCCTGACCCTGTAAGGCCAGCAGATGAGTCCTCAGATACTGATCAGGAAGATGGGGATTTTCTGGGCTGGGGTCCTCAGTCCCCAGAATGAGGTCCCGTGCCAGTAATTACAGCAGAGCCAACAGGACGGGCAATCCCAGAGGTAATGAGGGGGGAGGTGGTTCCGGTGGCTACGGTACCAGGGTCTGGCCCAGCAGTAAGTGCACCAGAAGTGCGACAATCTCAAAGGTTTACTGCAGGCCAACATACCAATGTCCACCACCTTCCTAGGCCAGCAGGGGGTTTGGGACAACGGACCACCACTATTCCTGCTCCGGTATCGAGCACGGTTTTGACTTTGTTCAGACCGTGGGTCTAGGTTCAGGCATCAGGTAGGTGAATCATCGGGGAGTCGATTAAAGTTGTGGGGGTAGGGTGTAGCAGGGTGATCGTTTACAGCTCGAGAACTGTAATGTCTACAGCTAAAACGAAGACATCCCCTCGAAGATGTGAACCAATTCTACAATGTTTGAGAAATGTGTGAGTGTACTCTGAATCTTGTGGTCATAGAAGAAATTTGTTTAAAGTCATTTTATCTGTAAATGTCCAGCTCCACTCGAGTTCGCATGACCTTAGAGTGAGGAAAGATATTTTAACATTTTTAAACAAATGGACACTACCACCATAATTTTTCAAGTACCTTCATGAATTATGGCTCAAAACTGTTATATCCGTCAGCTGTAGGTCAGTGGGATTCTTATTTTGATAGGACCTATGGTTTTCCCAGGACATGGCCTGAAATGGAACAATTTCTGTGAATTGCCTACAGCAAGTAGCCAGAAGTTTAAAACATTTCTTAAGCTTCTTCTTAGTGCGGTAGCAGTTGCTAGGTGACAGGAGGACATTTGCTGAAGTAGGGGTGGGACTATTATTTAAGGCTAGACTGTCCAAATTCACAGCTGTTAACATCTGGACTAACTGGTCACGGAAGAACACGTTCTCCTGAGACCAATGAGGATGAGTACTCATAAGCATGCAACCCCTGAATGAGGACTTTCAACCCACTCCCATGTATTTTAGACCAGATTTGTATGGTTATATGTTACAAGCCGCCAATATTTTTCAGCAACTGGGCATCATTTAATTAACTTTCAACAACATTTTGATGGATATTTCCAGAGATTAACAATAAAAATTACACATTGCCTCTTTAACGTGAAACTTGGAGTTTACAGCAAAACCTGAGCTTTAAAGAGCAAGTCACATCAAAATCAACCTTTTTTTAGCTGATAACTAGTATAAGTGAGTGTCTAATAGTGTTGTAGACATGTGTAGTTATTATTTTTGCATTTTGATGCATTTTCTTTGAAAACTCTAAATTCTGTCAAAAAACGTCAGTCTAGCGCCCTCTTCAGCTCAAAAGTATAGAACATGTTTACTTTGAGTCAGTTTTAGCCGTTGGCTAACGGGAACGATGCTACATATCTATGAACAGTACTACGTAGCAGCTCTGTGGCTGTAGGTTATAAAAGCACTACAGTCTCAACCAGCCTTTCAGCATCAGGCTCGGATTAACTGCAAGTGAGTTGTGCTGTAGTTAGCATTAGCATTGTGTCAGAATCCCTGCAAAGCTTTTACTATTATAGTTATTTAATTCTAGTAGCTTGGCTGTTAATTTTGTAGTTAAGTGTTTTTTTACACGTTACTCTTTCACCAACTAGGAGTAACCGGGATGGAGTTTGAACCGGGTTATGCTGGTTTTAAGAGCATTTCACAAATTAGTCCAAACCGCTCCAGTAATTTACTGGATCCCACCGACTGCTGCTTCCTCAAAATGGAGATTTTGGGCCCAATTTGAGGTGTGTAAGCTAAATAATTACTTTTAACAGCTTCTAAAGATCGTTCCCTACCTGTAATTTTGTAGCTATATTAGCTATATTTACAATTACAAAGTAAGAAAGACGTGGATGTGGTTCACGTAATTTAGACAATCAGTCCACACTGCCGCGGGCTTGAAGCGAGTGTTGTGTGTGTTATGTCAAAGACTGGTTCAGGTTAAGTTTTTGTGCCAGTTAATAAGCGCTGATGCAGAGCAGGAGGGACACTGAAGAGTAGCTCCTCCTGCAGCAGACCTGACCTGGTTCTGAACTGGTGCCGAGTCCGGTTCTCATTAGAACATGTCTGATTCTGGACACTGAGTTAGCTCTGAGAGCAGTCAGCTCACTCACCAGCCATGTTATAAAGCACATAGACAGTTTGTTTAGTACACGATCAAAGTTACTAAACTCCCATAACAATGTGATATTTTTTCAGGTTAAAGATTGATGTAATCTTCCACCAGCCTGCACCAGTCCAGACTAGAAGTCTTGCAGGTGAGTTATTTTTAACCAGATAGTCTTTCTTTACCTTCTAGTTTTAACATGTACTTATTTTTAGCTTATTGTTACACGTGTGTTGCTGCTCTTAAAAACAACTATAAATATATTTGCTGTTTCTTTATATTTCACATAGCCTCCCAGCAGCAGTGTGTGACACTGGGACCATGATGGGAATTCCACCCTGAGAAGCTTCTACACTCCTGATCAGATCCAGGTGTGGTGGAGAGCTTCTGAGCAGCTTCCATCTGAATGGCAGGGCAAGCTCTATGAACTGATCTAGGTAAAAACATTATAAATAATAATATTGTAGGCTACATTAACTTATTTTTCTCACATCTCAGCCTGGCTGATCACCACTGGAGAGGAGTATCTCCCCAGTCTCACACTAACATCCCGTTTTACCTCAGGGCCTCCTGATCTAACAGAAAAAACTGTAGCTCCATCCTTGCTCTGCTTTCCACATGTTTCTCATCATCTCTGGAAGCTACCTCCCACAACACTGTGATGTTATATATAATTTTTTTAGGCTAAATGAACCCAAGTAATCTGCTGTCAGTCTGATTATTGCAGCTGTAAATGGTCCAGACTAACCCCGGGTTTCCACGGGAGCCGTCAGCAGCACGTTACTGCAGCAGCACGTCTAGCTGCTGCTTGGCCCTTCCCACGAGACGCGAAGCAGCAGGGGAGCAGCTGTCACCGACAGAGCACGAAGTCACACGAGTGACTTCGTCAGTAAACACAACAACAAGCAGGAGAAATTTACAATATGGTTTGTGTTTTATGTTCTGTCCGTTTTATAATCGCCAATACGGACCTGAAAAACAAAGGAGACCGCTAGCTAGGTGATAACTTCTCACGGGGACGCACAGTTAGTAACGTTTTTTAAAAGTAAAGCAACCGGAAGGCAGTACGTTCTTTATTCTGAAAATCTCGAGAGCTTCTCTCCATTTCCGCGTCTGATTTCCTGTCTTTCCTTCCCCAAAAATGTCGAACTTGACCCGTTTCAGAGGCGTCGCGCGTAGAAAATAGAACCGGCGCGTAAGGGCCGCGACATGCTGCTCCTGAGACGCGGCCGACTCGCGCTGCTGACGGCTCCAGTGGAAAAGGTTCTGTTGACTACAGCGGTTCCTATCAGCAGCTATGACGTGCTGCTGCAGTAACGTGCTGCTGACGGTTCCTGTGGAAGGCCGGGGTGACATGAAGCCTTGCAGGTGTAGTAAAAGTGAGTTGTTTTTAATCATCATGTAATCTTCATTACAACCTTTGAGTTTTAACATCATCTATGTTTTTGTATCAGTATATCAGTATATAGCTTATTGCTACACGTGTGTTGCTGCTGTGAGCTTGGAGCTAGATTACATCATGAAGGAGACTACTGATTCTGGTCCTGTGACACTTGGTGACGTGTGAACTGATTTACCTGGTAAATAACTTTCACATTAAATATTGTTTTTTGCTATCAAAAGTAAATTAACTAACCTGCATCACTGCAGGACACTCAGCGAAATATGGACGCTACACCATGAGGCAGGCACACGTCAGGATTCTATAAGAGCACATGAGGTGAGCAACACCACAGATTATTAATATCATTGTACACTGTCCTGGATTTGTTTTCTTTCTGCATCTCATCATTAGCCTGGCTGATCACCTGATAACTCCTGTCACCTGGTTATGACAGCATGAGGATGTCCTCACACACCTGTAACCTATCAGCTCATCTGGCAGAATAGAGAGAGAAGACACAGCACCACATCTCCTGTTCCTGGAAAGCCTTCAGCCATCCTTCGATGACTGAGAACCTCCATCAGCTCTGTCTCCTGTCTGCCCACAATTATTATAATAAATGTTGTGTTTGACAAGTTTTTTTGTGCTGCCAAATATCTCATATAGATTCCAGTTTTGATATTTTAATGGATATTTATAAATTACATTAATTGAATTATCACATTGTTGCACGTTTAACTAGCTCTGTTGTGATGAATTAAACTAGCACCTCACTGTTAAAAGCTCATTTTAAACTCAAGCGTGTTTAAATATTTATGGACATGCACAAAAACAGGAAATATATAAATTGAGATTTATTTAAATAATATAACAAATGACTGTTTAGAGGGGGAAGGAATCATTCGAAGGCATGTTCTTCTGGGAGCTCCTCATCTTGACGACACCACCAGAGACCAGCTGCAGACACCAGAGGATCACCTACGACCAAGAGAAAGCTGGTATCAGTAAATAATGAAATCAGGGCAATTTTATGTATGTTTGCGATTGTGTAACATAAATTAACACATTACAGAATAATTTTCTCATGGGGTATTTTTATAAGTTTCTCTGCAGCAGACAGTAACTTTAGCCCAGGGTAGGAGAGCTGCTATCGACACGTTTCAGTGGTTTTTCCTGCTTTAACATGTTAGATTAACAGTTCCGCAGCTCAGGTATTTGCTGCTAATTAAAACCAGGTGTGTTGAAGCAGATAAACCTCTAAAACATGCTGGATAACAGCTCTCTAAGGCTGTGGAGGCAAACCCTGCAGCTAATCTAACGCTATGGCTAATGGCTACTTACCATTCAGACGGGTTCTGTTGGGTCGGCTCCGGTGGTTTCAGGCAACTCACAAGCTCAAAACAATAAGGCTCAGGCCCGCTTGTCTCCTACAAATAGATTTTGTTCCTTTCTTCTCCATCGTGTAGGTAAGGAGGGGGAGAAATGTCCTCTACTTCTAATGACTGCTCAGAGTGAAAGGAGCTAGCTTCGTCTGTTACCCTTCCGTCTTCGTCACTGCCGCGGCTCCGCCCTCTTGGTCTGCCAGGCAATGCCTACTAATGTTGCAATTTTCGAAATTGATATGTGGATGGAAAAGGACTCTGAGGGAGGTTTGACCCGCCCTTTAAATAAAATTTATTTTCTACCTTCATTCTTTGTTCCTTTATTTTATTTAAAGGGACTTTATGGAGTTTTGAATTTTTATGCTCGCGATTGCCCCCTCAGGCCAAAAGCAGCTTCAATAGGAGGCTCGTGCACGAGGCACGCATGCTGTACGTGCACACGCTGTACGTGCACACTCCTTAACGAAAATAACAGCTGAGACGAAGCTCGGAGAGCTGACAGTCCCGTGTGTGTGTCTGTGTGTGTGTGGCCCGGAGGACAGAGGACAGGAGAATGCGCAGCTAATTAAATCATTTGGTTCTGTACCTTTCTCTTCAGCACAGCCAACAAAGGTTTAAGATGGGTCAGTCCTGCATGCTCAGATCATTCCCTTTCCTTGCTTGAAAAATTGTTCCAAAATGAAAGTTGAACCCACATCTTTTTTTATCTGTGAATTCAATGCCGTTCAGCGAGTCTCAAATAAAAATTTGGGCATCTTACTGTAAAAAAAATATATCATTAATGTAAAAAAGATACTCTAAACCAACCATTTTCACATCTGGAATTGAACCCAGGTCTTATGCACAAGAGCCCGAAATTTTACTAGGCGAGCTAAATCGCTAGTGGTGTGTTCTGCATCTGTAACATTTATATCCTTGATCACAGCTGAGACAACGTTCAAAGAATGGTTTGGAGGGCTATGCCTGAACGTGAACGCGCATGAAGCAGCCTGTTAGACCCGAGCAGCTCTCTTTTTCTGTGATTTTACAGAAAAATAGGCAATCACAATAAAAATACCAGGGCTCATTCAACAGGACCAGGACATTACAGGAGAATGTATGAAGAAGAAATTTATTATTTCTATACATGTTTTGGCTGTCAAACTTCCATAATGCCACTTTAATACACTTTGATGTTGGCTGTAGAACGTAAAGCATAAAACGATTGATTTGTACCAAACTGCTCTTATTCTGCTGGGCCTGAGATCTAACTGGGTCCAATTAAACCTAAATTGTTAGTGCAACCTTGGTCAAACTGGTTACCGCTCATGTCATTAGGTCCGTTTTAGGGGGGCTTCAGCCCCCCTAAAATAATCACAAGCTCCCCCTATCATTTTGGTTTTTTATTTTATTTTATTTTTTTCAGTTAACTTTTTTTATTTGTTCACAGCTACATGCGCAACACAATCACGACACGTATAGTTGGTACAGGAGTTTTTTTTTTTAGTCTGAAACAGAAATAATAATGAATGAATATAGAACTACACCGTCGCACACAGGAACTATCAAGAAAGGACTTCCTCCACTTCCTTAACCCCGACAGCTTTGTTGACAAGTCAGGGGGCAGGGGCGATACAGCAAAACCTTTGTATCGATGAGCAAACCCTGCTCAGCGCTCGTAAGTCACTCAACATCACATTAGGGTAAGACAGCAACAGAAGCACACCGTTAACATTTCAAGGTTATAGTTCAAACTTCAGAGGGAGGAAAATGCTACCGCACCGACATGCTAATGCTAACTCCGCTAGCATGTTTACATGCCACAAACCATAATGAAAAGCTTAGATGTCAAGTAAAATGGTCGGAAAACTCCCCTGAAGTGACACGATTAATGGGTCAGCCAGTTCATTGAGTGACAGTGCCACCAACTAGAGCGTACAGTAATGAGTCTGCACAAACAGAACCTGCTCTGCGCTTGTGTGCAGCAGCTGCAGCCCTCTCTGTGGGCTCAACTCTGTCTCTGCACATGCAAATCTCTCCCTGCTCTCCTCAACAAGTAGCCTTTCCAACAGTCAATCACAGACAGCTCTGTTTTATCCAATCAAAGCATGTCCAGGAAACACTGCTTTACAGAAAAACACCCATTTAACAGCTTATTGAACTGCTTTCTGCTGCTGGTTAGCTACCAGTCACCATCCACTGCCTGCAAAATACTTTGTTGTAATTCATGTGTCATGATTAGGGTGACCATATTTGACTTCCAGAAAAGACACATTGCCCATTCCTAAAACTGTTAAACTGAACTCTTTTCAGTTAAAGAGGACTTTTAATTTCCATATATTAAGTGTTTCTTACGGAGCCCCTCTGATGACATGGTCCAAAAAATAAATAAATTGTGGCCACAAAATACTATTTTGAGGCCACGAAATAGCTATAACGTGGGCACGAAATACGTATTCGTGCCCACGAAATACTTATTTGTGGCCACGAAATAGCAGGATGAGGTAATCTGCTGACCCCGCCAGTCACCAGTAGGGGAGCTGTGGGTATAAAAAGCAGACTCGGGCAGTGTTTCCTTCCTTGTTTACGGAAGTAGCTGCACTACCCAAACAGAAGCTGTATTTTGGAACAGTGGCAGCGTAAACTGGATGCGTGTGGATCGCAGTGAGTATTCTGACCAGCTGTTAAAAAGCAGATTGGTGATAACTGATATAGGCTATATACAGACAGAGGCAACATTTGGAAGCCTGATGAAAGCTGTAACGTTACCGCGTGCCATTGGAAAAGAAGCGTGCTTGCCTCCTAGGTGATCTATTGCTGTCGGCGTGGTATGTGTGTGCGGCACACCCCCCTTGCACGCTCAGTATGAATATTCTTTTCTTGGGTTAATACGGTTTATTACCATTTTTCTTTTTAGGGCCCGAGGTGTTGTGGTGCTATGACAAAGTGTTTTTGAGTCACTGCTGTGACTCCCCCCCTCAACCAAGGAGCGGTTCGATAGAGCGGACCAACCTATTGGGATCTGTTTGGGCCGCCGCTCACTCAGAGCATAACCGAGGATTTTAACCAGTGCTGGTGCTCTGCCGCCAGACGTTCTCCCACCCATCGTGTTGGTTGGAGTGGAAAGGGAGATCCTTTCTCCCCTCTGACGCACGAGGATTCTGGAGCACTATTGTACATTTTAACAGAGTTTATTTTATTGTGGTTTTTAACTTTGATTTGTTTTGTCCATGCTGGAGCCAAGGGTGGTGGCAGTGGTTATTCTGTGTGCGAGTTGGTGTGGGCCCTCCTTCACATCTGTGTGACTGTTCACTGGTGCTTCGGGTGATTTTTAGTATTTAGTTTGTGTTGTTGCTAGAACCTCCAGTGGGTCCACCTTACCTTGGTAAGCTCCAGCCTGGTAATACTAATTATTTTCTTTCCCTTGTTTTAATTCTTCCTTTCTATTTTTAAATTAGTAGTTTAAATTGCCGTCCTTTTAACAAAACATGAAATAAAATTGTGGACTGTGCGTACACCTTGTTTCTGCCGCCTTTGTGAGATCATTGACCCTATGTGTGCCTAAAAGGTACCAATTTTATTTTCCTTGGGTGAAATTCCCAAGGTGGCGTTGTTTTAATCTTTTTACTTAACATTCTGTTTAGTACCAGTAAACCCCATACCACCTTTTTCTCGCCACATTAAGATATTAGCTTCTATTTTGGGATGACGTATTAAAGTCGGGTCCGCTCCAGCCAGTGACTCCGAACCTGACCACAACTCATGTTACTGCAGCATTTGTTATTCCAGTCCGCGTGGCAGCGGATCGCAGATTCAGCCACACCATAAAACAACAATAAGTCGGTCTGAGGCAAAAGTGAACCTCATGGCTATATCTTTTCCCTACAGACATTTGATTACGCACAAGTAGGTGATCAGCTCAGGTTTTCGCAGGGCAGAAGGAAGGAGAGCGCTCTGGCCGCACAGGTTAAATGTTCAATCAATCAATCAATCAATCAATCAATCAAAGCTTTATTTATATAGCGCCTTCCGCAACCCTGTCAGGAAGCCCAAAGCGCTGAACATGGTACAGTTGTAAGTAATTATATTGAATAAATCAACAATAAAAGAAATTCAAATTACAAAATACAAAATGGAAATTACAAGATAGAAGAAACATTCCGGTAAAATACAAATGTGTGAAACACATTTGGATTGAGTGGATGGATTGAGTGTACCAATGAAAACTGTGGAATGGATTCAACATAATAGAGGGCCATAATCAAACATGTTCTGGAAACGCCAAGCGGAGGAGGTGTGTTTTTAGGTGATTCTTAAAGACTGGCAGAGAAGGGGACAGCCTAACTGAGGGTGGCAACTGGTTCCAGAGTGACGGTGCTAGGACTGAGAAAGCCCGGTCCCCACGGGTACGACACCTAGACCGAGGGACAGCGAGCAGGCCTTAGTCAGAGGAGCGCAGAGCGCGTGATGGGGAGTGTCTGTTCAGGAGAGTGGCCAGATAGGGGGGAAACGTTCCTACTTAAAGAAAACCGTTAAATTGCATTTTTTATGCACTACCTGGGCAATCTAAATATTTATTTAAAATGAAATCAAAGGAAATTGTAATAGTATCGAATGTTTATGAATTACTATTTAAAAAATGAAAGTGATGGGGAAAAAGGTCGATCTATGACAGCTGCAGACGCGTTCCAGCGGAATCACGGCTCACGGGTGCACAAGTGAGCACATCTGGGCTGGGCAGCTATTTCGTGGCCACGAAATACTATTTTGAGGCCACGTTATAGCTATTTCGTGGCCACAAAATACTTATTCGTGGCCACGAAATAGCTATAACGTGGCCTCAAAATAGTATTTCGTGGCCACGAAATACTATTTTGAGGCCACGTTATAGCTATTTCGTGGCCACAAAATACTTATTCGTGGCCACGAAATAGCTATAACGTGGCCTCAAAATAGTATTTCGTGGCCACAATTTATTTATTTTTTGAACCATGTCATCAGAGGGGCTCCGTAGTTTCTTCTCTGTTTGGTCAGGCATAAATGATCCCTTGATGTGTAAAAAGAAGTGAACAGTGGAAATGTCCCATGAAAAGAGGAGGGTTAATCAACCTAATTAAATATAATTTTATTAAGGCCTCTTTATCTGAAAAAAGTGCAATTTTCCTGGCAGTATTTCCTGGACATGCTTTGATTGCATAATGGAGAGCTGTCTGATTGGCTGACGGAGAGGCTACATTGCTTTGTAAATTGCAAATTGAGCAACAGCAGGGAGAGATCTGTGCAGGCAGAGACGGAGTTGAGCATGCAGAGAGAGGGCTGCATACGACTGCAGAGCAGGTTGTGCTCTTGCAGATTTATCACTGCACACTCCAGTTGGTGGCACAAAAATCACTCCATACTAAAAACCTGAATCAGAATATGGCCGAATGTGTATATTATTGACCGTTTTTCTATATTATATATTTTTTCTATAATATATATATATATATATATATATATATATATATATATATTATAGGTACATATATGTATCTATAATATAGTTAACAGCCAGTTTTATATGTCAAGTATTTTCAAAAGCTATATCAAAACATATATTAAAACCTATATGTTTATATGAATTCTTTCCACGTGGGTTGTCAATTGCTTAATATTTCCTATGTTTACCTATGGGAAAGAAAGGAGATATTGTACTCATCTAACTTTAACATAAATTTTGGCAGCTTGATGTGATGTTATGGAAAATGCCATCATCATGAGCAACCAAACATAGGCTATATTAGGCTAACAGTTGTCCATATTCTGTCCCATTTATCCACCAATGGCTGTTTCAATTATTGTGAGTGAAAACTAAATGGCATAGTAGCTTTTGTTTTTGGCATTAGAAATTGAAAATGTTTTTCAATGTGTTGGCTAGATGGATATACGAAGATTTTTTAAGAGAGTGAGTGAGGAACAGGAGAGAGACCAGGTGGTTGATGCTGAGGAGATCTGCATGGTCAAGGTCAGTGATCTACAGGAAACAGGGGCGAGCGCACCGTTATGAGCATTTACCTGAGCACAAAGTTCCCAAGCAAAATTGAACAGTTTTCTATTTAGGAGTGAACATGTAAGAGACATTGAGAAAAAAATAACTATAATTATCATCTGGCCTGCAACCTTATGTCAAGTTGTATCTGTATAGTTGACTTTCTGTATTATAAGTTCTACTACTTGCTGTATATTTTTATATATACTGTTATTTTGTCTTGTAATTGTTAATTACACACTCCTTTATTCCATATCATAGCAGTGTTATTCATATATTAAAACTGTCAACTGCACACTCATTTGGCAGAATAAAAGTTTGACAATTATTCATTTGTTCTTTATCGTCACATTTCAGTAACATTTATAATTAAACAAGTTGTAATTAAACAAATTAAATAAATGACTACAACATTTCCCCCTGTTAAGTGCAGTAGACTGAAATGAATATCTTTATTTGGAAATATAACATATCAAATTTTTTATGGACTTACATAAAATCTTTCTTCAACATAGACCCCACTAATGAACTGATTAAGTATTATTTTTTCTAAAAAGAGAGAAAATGCACAAAGGTAGGAAAGGAAAAGTGACAAAATAATAGGTTTTGTTAAATGTTCTTCATATAATGAATTAATTGACAAAGTTTTTGCAGGGTGTGACAAAAAACGTTCAAGGTCAAGCTCCTGGGGCTAAGCCCCCCCATATCTCAATCCTAGTGACGTCCATGCTGGTTACCAAAAAATCCAAACTTGGTTGTCTTTCATCGTGGTGTGAGGTTATGTTAGAATAATTCATCAACAAAATATTGTTTTAATGACCCATTTAATTAGATTTTAATTTTACTTATAATTGTATGGAATTAATGAATTCATCTTTAATTTTATGGAGAGATTAGGCTCAGAGTTCTTATGGAAACACAATTTATTAGTCAGTTAGTTATTCATTCAAATCTGGGTGTCGGGTCTGAGTTAAACCCGGGTCTGGGTTTTGGGTCCGAGCTGAACCCAAGTCCGGTAATCGGGTCTGAGCGAAACAGTCAAGGTGTTGGGTCCGTGCCAAGCCGTGTCGGTGTCGGGTCTGGGTCGAGCCCAGGTCTGGTTTGGTAGCTCCAGGTGGAAGGTGCAGCCTGATTCTGAAGCTGAAGGCTCATAACAGAACCACGACGACACCTCCACTGCAGCAACCATGCGAGCTGCAGACACCACTCAACATCACCTGGGTTCTGTTGGAACCAGAACCCTTCTGCTAGCGGGCGGGTTCAGAACTTCCCCCCTTTTACTACCTGGTGCACGCGCCCCGCTGGCATAACTAAACTTCCAGGATTTACTTGGAGCCGGTCGAACCACCGGTTAATGACACCGATTCAGTGTTCTGGTTCCGAATAAGCTTTATGGATCAGTGGTCCCGTGAGACAGAAATACGAGAGAGAAGAGCAAAATAAAGTGTTTTAGTGGTGGACCGGAACGCGCCTGCATGGGCCAGCAGCGCGGTCCGGGTTCGGATCCAGGATTAAAAGTCCGAGCGTTGACTTGTCAGAACTTCGTGTTAAGTCAGCGGGTTCACTAATATGATGAACACACTCCGTGTCACTAATATCTCACCAGTACCACTTATTTCTGCTGCAGCTCGGACTTCCGCTGCTGTTCCCTGTGGTCCGGAGCTCGGTTCTGATTAACTCGAACTTTTTTCTCCAGCTCACCCCTCTCTCATAAATTAAATAACCCCGATATTTTAAATTAACCCCGGGGTAACGGAAGCTGTAATTTGCACCAAACTTACCCCGGACGCTTCCACATCCTTTCTGTTCACTTTTTCTTCACTTTCGACAATTTCCCGAATTTTTAATAATTTTTTTCTCATATTTTTTGGTAGACGCGGCGGGCCTGAAAATTGTTTGCTTTCTTCTCTTTCGAGCAGCCATTGTGTATGCGCTGCGATGCAACCGCACTATGCCCTGGCCACGCCCATTTCGGGTGCTCTGCGGCCTGTGATTGGCTCACCTCGCAGTCACTCTCCTTCCAGGTTCCCCTACAGGTCATCTCTGTGAAGCACTAGCTTTTGGACTTGCTAGATATTCTGTCAATCGCCGAAACCCGGTTCGATCCATTCGACAAAGGTAGAAAGACTAGAGTACCGTGAGGACCTCTGATTGGCTGATAAAGTTGTTAGTCTGCGCGTGCTGCGGTTTCCTGAGCTCCCATTGGCTGACGTCGCTGACAGCCGTCGATGACGCGGCAGGAGAATTTCCTGGTGCGGAGTTAGCATGTTTTGCTAGCTGTAGCCGATCCGTGGAGCTCCAGAGACACTCTTCCACTCCGGGCCAGGAGTTTCGCTTCAGTCCTCAACGATTCAGATGTGAGCTCAGTTATTCTGCAGAATAAACGACCGGAGACCTTTTAAACCGGTGAAGTCCAGAGGGGCTCGGTTCAGGCGGTGAGAAGGTGGTGCAGGTAGGTCATACACCGGTAGACAACATGAACATGACTACGGACCATTTGGTTCACAGCCCGGTCTGTTCTGACAGGCGGACACGTTCACCTTCAGCTGGCGTGTGTCAGTCAGGTCCTGTCATGGTTACACCTAAAACACACTTGCGCTTTCAGGTGAACCGTGCTGTAATGTTCCGATTGTTTACTTAGACCAAGAGATGTAGAGAAGAATAACGTTTTCTACAGTAATTATTCTTATCTGATCAGAACCCCATCAGAACCATCTAAAGGACCAAATAGGATACGTGTTAAACAGAGAGCCACTGACTCTGGTTAATCTCATAGAACTATAATTACCTGAATATAAAAAGTACTATTATGATCACAGGAGTAGAAACAGGCACGTGTCCTGCAAGCGTGGTGTGTTCAGGGACCTGGTGAAGCTTCAGACTTTAAAGATGCATTTACAGGCCAGAAAAAGCCATCTAGTCTCGTACTCAGCTGATCATAAATGTTGGTCACGTATGATTTATACGGTAATAGAAGTGTGTTTGTTATTGTGTCATACACCACCTGACTGTCAGAAACACACCTGGTTATTCTTCAGAAGGGTATGAAGTTCCCATCACTCTGGTTCAAAGACAAAATAAAATTATTGCTGGTATATTAAGTAGTGATTATTTACTGATTTCCTTTTTATTACATTATTTTTGTGAACAGTATATGGTTTGATGATCTCTACTTTTGGAGCAACCAAGCACCATCAACACCTAAACCCTCTTAGGCTGGTTCACCACCAACCCTAGACCGCTCCTCCCTCTGCTCACAGATCCGCACTTACCCCAAAACAGGCTCTGGACTGTCGGGAACCAGACCTCGTCCAGCAGAGTCCTGAACGTAGAAGTACTAGATAAAAGTAGAGTATGCTTACTTGTGGAATCCCCCTTTTCCTGTAAACCTGAACCTTTTATTTGTTGTAGTGTATGACAGATCCAGATGGATAAAAACTCCATGAAGGCTCGTAATCAGGACATCAACCCATGTTTGGAGGTGAGGTCATCATCATGCCGTAGTGTGTCTGACTTGTCAGCTGCTGATCTGTGACTGGTTCTGGTTCTCAGGAAGGTGATGCCTCCCAGAAATGTCTTGACTCTTACAACTATGATAAGAGCTTGTGTTCGGCCTATTTCCAGAGATACAAGGACTGTAGGAAGTACTGGGTGAGTCCCACTGGGTCAGGAATAGCTCTGGTTCTGGCTCAACAGCTGATGGTAGGACCAGACACAAACATTGTGTCACTACAACACCATCCAGTGGTCATTCAGGGTAATTGCACCACGAGGGACAAACAGCTCAGTACAGATGTTCTTTTTATTACATCTTCATGTAGATTTGTTTCTAGGAGCCTGAAGATGACCTGTCAATTTAGTTTCCTGTTTTTGATTTATTTATTTTTGTAGCACAACGTGATGGTGCAGAGGAGGCGAGATGGTGTGCGACCCAACATGCCCTCTGCTGCTGAAAGGCTGGAGATGCTGGAAGCCATTGGAGGGAAACCTTATTGACTATAGAGATGTTCACAGAGAGTTAGCTCCACCAGAGAGGAGACTGAGGACTGCCATTTTGGCCTGCTGTTCTACTTTTAGAACATCCAGGAACCACACCTGCAGTGTGTGAGCCAGGAGCTCTGCTGGGAACATCTGGAACATGAAGAAGCAGCCACTTGATCTTTCAGAGCTTTTGAAGTTCTGGATGCAACAGGGAGCTGATGAAGTGATGCTGAAACAGGAGAAAGTCATCTGGAGCCTCTAGACCAGTGGTCCCCAATGGTGGGATCGGGCCCCACTGTGGGTCACCAAAAATACACAGGGTGTTGTGAAATGATTTCCAGAGATTGAAATAAAATGAAAACAACCACTGAAGATTTGATTTTAGCATGATTGTTACAAAAAACTCGACTAAATGGTCATAAATGAATATAAGTGAACATGAGCTGTTGCAGTTTTCTTTATTTCCTGAATTATTGAACTTTTTAAGCATGTTTGCTTTGTCAAATCAGATACATGGGCTCACGTGATTTGACAATTGCTATTTTGTGGGTCTGAAGCTGAAATGTTTGGGATCCACTGATAGAGAACCCTTTGAACATCGGAGGAAGTATGTCTGACGAGACAGAGAATTACAAACCAGGTCTGGAAGTAATAAGTTTATTTGCATCAGTGTGGGTCAGAGTTGTCCTGATTTTAGCAACATCTCACAGATGGAAGAAGACGGTCCATGATTATATGAGGCGTAAAGGGCAGAACCTGGTCCTGGTTAACATGGTCCTGGAGGACAAGGCGTTGAATGAAGACAGGGTTTGTTCCTGAGGGGCTCAGGTACAGAAACAACCTCATGCCTGTGATGGGGCTTCATGGGTAAATAGAACAGGAGATTTTTCACTATTGACACAGTCTCGCGAGAGGATGCGAGAAAATCAACAAGAGCGGATCATTTATGGTGATGACTATAATTCTACATTAAGCACAATTAAACTCCTCGTGCTTGTAAGAGAACCCGCGATATCCGGTCAACTAGTGATGGGATTTATTGCTCCTTCATGGGAGCCGTTCATTAGTCGGTCGTTTACCTCAAAGAGCCGTTCAAAAGACTGACTCTGAACGAAGTGAAGCCAAGAGAGCTGCGGTGTCCATGAGGGCGCACGGGGCTCCTCTATGGTTCTATGGTTGGTTATCTATGGTTCCTAAAACGTCCGTCACAGCAGTGGGTGGAGATTTGAGCGGGTGAGTTTGGCCGACTTCCAAACCGCGGGAAACGCAGAAACGTCACCGATGCAGAACAGAGCCGGTGCTGAAGGTCTCAGGTGAGCAGGAAGCGGCTCGGGACTTCCAGGAGGTAAAAAAAAAAAAAAAAAAATCTGGTTCTTTCTGCTTCCTATAAAAGTCACATTTGACTGGTTTAAACCGGATCTTAGCTGGTTCAACCGGATAATTCCTGCAGGAATATCAGAACATTTCTGCCAGATTAACATAAAAACATGAAGTACTAGTTTATAAACCCAAACAGCAACTCTCTGCTCGTCAGGGTCAGAAATAATTTCACCTAAAGAGAAAAACTGATTAACTGTGTTATAATTTTAACAAGCCTCTGTAGGCCAACTATAATGTTTTAGCGGTAGGAGTTGTTGGCTTGTCCCCGAGCACAACCACCGCTGCTTCTCACTGCTCCCAATGGGGATGGATCAAATGCAGAGATGTAATGGCACCAGCGTGTGATTAATGATGCCTAATGGGAAGTCTTTCTTCCAGCTGATACATGGTTTCCTTCTGAACTCCATAGGCTAAATGACGCATTAATGATGAAGTTACGTTACCTGTGGGTGAAGTTAGCATGGACCATTTGAACAGAAGCTTCATGAACCTTAATCCTTGTTCAGCTGCAGAGACAAATGTCCGCTTCTCCTTAGTCATCTTTTATCAAACCTTAATCCCAAGTGGATATTTGTGTTTAGCACAGGGATACTGAGGTAATCTACAAATATTCTGGTGTAGTTCACAGACTTTGATGCTCTCCACCTGCCTCTTCATGGATATATACGCTGACCTCTGCACTTCATTTGGGTGAGTTTAATTCAACCTTTCTCCTGAAAATATAGTTGTGGGAAGGTGGAGAAATGAGGGCCCGGGCAGGATACGATCCCCAGACTCCCGGGTGAGAGTCATGCGTGCTTACCAGTCAGACAAAGGGACACCCCCTTGGCCAAGTAGCCTGGGCTCATGATCGGGACACTGACAGGACGCTCACACTGTCACATCTTCCCCCCCCCTTCCACAAGCACGTCCTCGTGCTCCCGCGCAGGGTGCCACAAACTTCACATCCACGGACCTTCTTGACAGTACTACATGGATCCTGCCAACAACGCTAAATGTGGCGGAGCTCGTGGTAGGGTACCTTCTTTATGAAGCTTGTCCCTTTAACCTTGATTATTTACTAGCCAAACTGGGAGAACACACAACAACGCCACCTTGGGAATTTCACCCCAAGGAAATAAAATTAGATACGTCTAGGCACACGTAGGTTCATGCTCCGAAGACGAGGCAGAAACGAGGTTACAAAAAGTTCAAATTTATGTTAAATAAAAGACAGTTTAAAAAGTCATTTAAAATACTAATTATAAAAAAGGGGGAAATTTATACAAAGAAAAATAACTAGTGCCACAAGGCTGGAGCTTACCAAGGTGTAGTGGGACCACTGGAGGTTTTAAAATTAAATACAAAAATCACCCAAAGCACAAGTGAGCAGTCACGCAGATGTGTAAGGAACCAACTCCAGCTCGCACACAGCAAACGCTACCAGAGAACCACCACCACCACCCTTGGCTCCAGCCTGGACAAACAGGGGTTAGAAACAATTAAATGAACACTGTTAAAATATAAAATAGTGCTCCAGAGTCCTCATGCGTCGGGGAGAGAGGGGTTCTTTCTATCCACTCCAACCGGCACGCTGGGTGGAAAACGTCTGGTGAAGGAGCACCACTAATTGTCCAATCCGGCTTGGCTGCGCTCCAAGTGAGCGGCAGCCCAATCGCTCCAGGTAGGTCGGTCCGCTCCGTTGAACCACTCCTCAGTTGTTTGGGGGTCACGGCAGTGACTCAAAACAATGTTTCACAAGCACCACAACACCTCGGGTCCTAAAAGATAATAAACCTTGTTAACCCCAGAAAAGAATAGTCATGACTGAGCGTGCAGGGAGGGGGCATACCACGCCAACAGTAGGGCACACTAGAAGGTAGGCACGCTTCCCGTCCAACAGCACGCAGGTAAAGTTACAGCTCTCTTATGGAGCTTCCAAATGTTGCCTCTGTCTGCATACAAGCCTGTATTAGTCGTCACTAATCTGCTTTTAATAGCTGATCAGAGTAGTCACCGCGATCCAACACACGTCCAGCTTACACTGCTACTGTCCAAAGTGCAGCTACTTCCGTGAGCAATGAAAGAAACGCTGACTGGGTCTGCTTTTTATGCCCACAGCTCCCCTACTGGTGACTGACGGGGCCAGGTGTTCTTTATTATAATCAGGAGCAGGTTACCTCATCCTGCTACATAGTGTTGCCTGAACCAGCAACAATATATCTGCCTTTATGAAACACACCATGCTGACGTATCATCGTAATACAGGGTGAATGAGGAAGGTGCCGTGGTGACATGGCGATGCAGGAAATTTACGGCTTTCGTACCGCCAATCTTGGTAGTAATATTACTGCAACACCTTACTTGTGAATAAAGATCACACCTTGGCAAAAACAGAAGGTTTTGTCATGATCACATAGGGAAGGTCCCCAGAGGCCCGGCCGGCAACCACATTGAAAGTAGAAGCGGACAGTAAGTTTTGCTTTTGTAAATGGAGTCAGCGGAGACAGCGAACTGGAGCGATGCAGAGATCCGGGAGAATTTCTCCGTCAGATCTGATCACCACACAGTTCACGGAGCTGTGGAGGACAGCTACTGTTAAGATTGTCTTGTCAAAAAACACTTAAGGAGAGCAGCTTTAATCCCAATAGAAAGCAAGTAAAGCCCAAGCTACAATGAACTCTTGTGACTGTGCAGAAACCGCCCCCCAAACCCCCTTTACCAGTGCCGTGGGAACATATTTTCCTAAGGGGGTGCTGTGATCAGCCACATACAAAAAAACCACACATGTGTTTAACATGTTTAACCCTCCCACTGTCCTAATGGGTGACCCCGCGAGGAAAGTTAACCATTTGAGCAGGGTTGATGGTTTATCCCTTGGGTCCATGTGGCAGGGGTGAGTAGTGAGCACCACCTCACCCCTGCCACGTGGACCTCAAGGGATAAACCATCAATCCTGCTCAATGGTCAACTTTCCTCGCGGGGTCACCCATTAGGACAGTGGGAGGGTTAAATATATTTATGTGTAATAGTAGAAAACCTTAGTTTTTCTTTGTTCATTCTTCAACATAACAGCAGCTTATTACCATCAACACTGGGAAAATCCCACAAATGACAAGTCAAAGCTTCCAGAATCCACACTGAACCGCGTGTTGGCAAGGAAACTGATGCTCTGCAGCTCTTCAGACAGTTGATCTGACACCTAAGTGTTTATCAACAGAAACAGAACCACCCTCCAAGAACATCTCCTTAAATGTAACGGAAACTAAAAACAAAACTGAACAATTCCACCCGTTGCTTATGTACACGTGATACCACAGAAAACGGTTTCAAGCCAGTATCAGCAAACATTGGTGCAGTAAAACACTGTCACTAGTTTTTACACGCTTTTTTTTTTTACAGCGCTTTGTGTTCTGCATCTGAAGGTTTGAACTCTGAGAATGTTTAAACACGAGAGAAAAGTGAAAACGTTAATGCATATCTGAAAAAAGTGCATAGGGTGTGTAGTGAGGGGTTTTTGCGGCGGTGCGCTGGGACGAGCATGTCTGCGGGGAGAGGAGCGCGCGCTGTGCCAAAGCTGGAGCACATCAGTAATCTGCACCCCCCCCCCAGGAGGAGGAGATGCAAATCTGCTCAAATGGTGGAAACAAAACCGGTGAGAAATGGAGTCTGGTGTGTTTTCGTGTGTGACCCAAAAGGTAGCTGCGTACGCTAAACATGTAAAAATTAAAGTTGACTACTTTGTGGATTTTGCGAGTTATTTTTAGAACGTAACTCACGCGATTAAGGCCCGCTGTAATGAGCCATGGACGTAATTTGGGGGGTGGGGGGGGTGGGGGGGGACAGGGGGGGGCAGCCCCCCCCCCCCCCCCACACACACACACACACTTTTTCCAAAGTCAAGTTTTGACCCCTGCACTTTTTACCATCCAAAAACAATATTACGCTATATTAAATTGACACTGGTTGAGGTCTAGGACCAAGCGGAAAAAAAACGTTTGTGTTGAAGCCTGTTTCCCATTAGAGCATACTGTAAAGATACCCCCCCCCCCCCCCCCCCCCCCCCACACACACACAC